AAAGACATAGGACTGTTGCCAGCTCGGGGTGCTACTTGATGCGAATAATTATAACATTCGGCCGTTAAAGGTTAAAGAATATGTTGTTTTGGGTTGTAACGCTCTGTAGTTTGGAGAGAACCAGACATTTTGGAGGAATGTATTACCTACACATTCAGGATTGCGGAGAAAGCCAAGCAAAAATCCAGCAGAAACAGATAAGAGAGCTGAATTTGGCTTGCCAGTTACTTCCACTGGTTTCTTGCTTGGCTTACTCTTCAACCCTGAAGACTGGTGTGGTATATCCCTCCAAAACATCAATGGACTCCTACCATACTACAAAGAGTTACATCTCATAAGACTGTAGTCTTTATAGCTGCACCACATCTCTGAGTGAACTCTCAGTGCAGACACCCAATATCAAATCAAAATGGTTAATAGTTTTGTACAGAAAAATGGATATCATCACCTATATGCATTCATGTTATGTGCACTTCATGCAAGGAACACATAAAAAATTAACACATCCAGATGTTAACAAATATTCCCATCTATTTCTCTTTCACAAGTCAAAATTGCAATGAAAAGTAGAAAAATTTTGAGGTCTTCATATCTCATACATTAATTTTGTTAAGACAATGGTGCATCAAGTGTGAAATATTTTACTGACCAACTAATCCAGTGTTTATTCAGCTTTCATCCTGTAATGCTTACACTGAAACCAAATCTAATGACACATATAACAAGAGATGCTTGGTAGATGAAGCAGTGGAAAGTACAATGAGGAACTCTTTATCACATTTATATTGGATATAAAAGTCATACCAAACACAGTGCTGATCACGCTTAACAACACACCCTTGACAGATGAGACAGTGGAAAGTACGAGGTGGAACTCTTCGCCTGCACACAGAACATGCCAATTCTGTTTCCTCATCCATATCAGCATGAACTACAAAGTTCAACTCTGCTCTTGTCCTCACCTATGGGACATAGTATAAAAATGAAAATTATGTAGAGGTATAGATGTCGGACTGCACTCCACACTATACTAATGAAAATACTGATTCTGTGGATAAAAATGCTTTTAAGTCATGTCTGTTTGAGGGGAAGATTTGAAACTCGTTAGATTATTCTCAGTAGAGTTGAGCTTGAGTTTCGACTCTGAAAGTGAAATTAATTGTAATAACAAGCAGATAGCTCAAAAAAGTTATAACCACAAACAAGTTCCTGTACGAATACTAAAGAACTGCCTGTTGAAATCAAAAGTCAACTGAACTATTCATATAGGGATCCTATTTGTTATAGGAAAATCTGATTCTGAAGAAAGCCAATCATTAATAAATAATGGCAAATAAAACTTAGAATAAAATTTCCATGCACTTTATATGCAAAAGTCGCAGCACTTATGAACATAAGCTGATTGCAAAGTGAAAGTGAAGTCTGTTAAGTGAAAAATAGGAAGGAATTAACAACGCTTCGCTGTGGCAAACTTCATACATCGAATGTTCATAAAACAGAGATACCTGTACTGTGGCTGGAGAAACTGGAAACAAATGGAAAGCTGCACATACAGGCGAGCCTCTACTTACAAACTTTCAAGAAACGAGCAATTCATATTTATGAATGTTGTGTGCACTAATAAATTGTGACTACCAATTCATTTAGCAAACACAGGACACCGCGCACAGGACAAATTAACATTACCAAATTTAATGACATATTTTATGAAAAAATAAATAAATTCAACTTACAAACATTCATTGTACACATTATGTTCATAAGTTGGAGTTCGCCTGTAGTTCAAATTTATAGCCTGTAAGGGACTGCTGCTGAAAATTCATTAAAATAAAAGGACAGTGATGACCAGTTCTTAAAATTCTCAGTGTTCCTACTGTTATTTATACAAAATATGTGGGAACTTTACAAACCTTATACAAGCATATTCCTGAAGATATAACTAGACCAATGAGCACACAATTCTCATGTGGCATGATCTCCAGAAACGGCACCACATTAAACTCAAATACCAGCAGAAGGAGAATAGCAGATGTCAAGGTCCAAACAAAGAAGAATTTTGTTCGTGGCAGGAATCGTACAAAGACAGTATACAAGTAACACATGCCAAACAACATGGTCAGTGAGACTAGCACTGTACACCACACGCTTTGGGCAGCAATATATGCTAGCACTGGCTGCAAGACTATAGGCAATGCTGAATCAATCGAAATCTGTTTGGCTCCTCCCCTCCATGGTATCCGTAACCGATCCTGGAAGGTGCTCATCATGCTGCTTACACGCTGAAATGGAACTCGCTCGCAGACAATTATCCTGAGAAAAAATAAAAAAAGAAACAAGTTTAATTTCACAAAATGATCAATACTTAGCGCAATACTATACTTTCATAATGCCGGTCACAGTAGTCGAGCGGTCTAAGGCATGCACTATCTTCGCTCGCTCAGAAGCCGGGATCATGGGTTCGAATCCCACTCAGGGCATGGATGTTTGTGTGCGTTTTTCTGTGTTTGTCTACAGGTAGAGGCCTTGCGATGAGCTGATCACTCGCCCAAGGAGTCCTACCGTATGTGTAAGATCTAGAAAAACCAAAGTGAACGGAGTTCATGGAGGTAGGCCTAGGCCCACTGGGGCTGTAGTGCCAAGGAAAAAAAATACTTTTATAATGCCACAGCATTTGGGCATCATGTGTCATCATTAGTGCCTTGATACAGTTACAACATTGAAGCCAACTGGGCATTTCAGAACTTCTACTCATAGTAATTCATAATTACAAAGTCAATAGAAAGTGTAGAATAGAATAGAATAGAATAGTGTAACGGACCAAAAATGAAACAATTCAAAATAATTCATAATTGTTCAAACAATTAGAATATGTATGACATGTTTTCAAACTCCATAAATGTTTCAGGCTAGATAATTCTCTAGAATCTTTTTTTTCTTCCTTAAAAACATATTTCATGTCACTATACCATTTAAATGTCTGAAACATCTATTATCATACAAAAAAAAATATCGCTTTAACAATGCATAATTATCTTTAATGAGAAAATGTAAATGATGAATATATTCTAAACATATTAACTAAAAGTGCTCTGCACAAAATGTTATTAAACATAAAACATATATATATTTTAAAATGTGTATATGCACTTCCATTTCCACATTCTATATACCTACAGAGTGTTTATATTATGCTTATAAGTCACAGAGATTATTGATGATGAATTATATGGCATTAAAAATAATGAATATGAAATGAGATGCCATAGATTGTTCATGATATATATTAAGGTGCTATTCTACCATTTGTCTAGGCCTGCAAATTTCTGGAATATTTACAGAACACATATGAAAATCTTACTATAAATCAGTCAAGTAATGAACCTCAAAATGACCCCACAGGGACTGAAATATGCTGGGCTTTTAAGCATAAACACTAGGAAATGTTTTCATTTGACAGTTACATTTTAATATAGTCATTTTAAATTAATTAATCTTACATACAGGCAATTCAATTATTTAATATACAGCCATTATGTTCCAACATTTTGGGTATAAAAAGTACTATATAATGCAGCACACAGTGCAGGGGGGACAGGGGGATCAAGGTCTACTGAACACTTTGTCACCTACAGCATAGTTAGTTAATTAGTTAGTTAGTTAGTTATTAGAGAGGGTGGGTTTCCCCATGCACTGTGACCAGTATTGGTCCACTGTGCTTCCCTCTGTGATATTCTACTGGTCTCTATACCCTACCGATATTGGTGCGTACCATCAGTCCCGACCGAGCCAGTGAGTTTCGCCTCTACTGGCTTGGCGGTATCTATAATGCTTCCCCCATCTATCAGAGGCATCAGAGACTACTGTTGGGCAGGAAATGTCCTTGAATTTAGCTCAGTGACCTCCTTTGGAGATATGAGGTTCTTTTACGTGCCGTAAAGCTACAACATGGGACCCACGGCTTAAAGTCCATCCCGTAGGACTTGTTCCCTGAATTTTTCCGCCCTTAAAAATTCGACGACCTCCGCCGGGTTTGAACCCACGTACCACGAGTCATGAGGTGGGAATGCTACCTCTAGACTACGGAGGCCGCTCACCTACAGCATAACTTGTGAGCATATTGCCTCCATCATCAGGGTCAAATAATAAGCAGAGTATGAAACCAGCGTGAGAGCATGTGACAATTGTTCAGCTTCTTCTTCAGCCCTGCAGATGGTGTCAACATATTCTTCAGAAACGACAGTTAACTTTCAATAGACTTCACAGCGTTATACCCTAGAAGATAGTACTCTTCACAGCCACCGCTGTGAGAACCTCAAATCCTATATAACTTAATTTTACTATGTCAGGGAGATAAATTAAAAATTGTTGATTAGCTGTAAGATATATTAGTATGCTCAGAAAAAAAAATTAATGTCCCACATATCAGGGGACCACAAAGCCTGAATAACATTCAAAACTAAGCCATAAATATCTGGTTATTAAACGAATATGCTTATTAATTGCTGGCATGTATAGTAGGTATTGTGCCGTCCATCAGCAAGGGGATTACAGAATTTCAGTTATTCATTTGCGTTCCATGCAACATCGAACACCCTCCATGTTTCATCAATCAATGTGAGCTTCAGCCATGACTTTTGTTTTCTGTTCTCTATACTGAACAAGGTCTAACATCAGACATCATAAAAGTATTAACATTTTCAGAATTTACTGTGAGTTGGAGGACCGTGAAGGAAAATTAAATTCTAGCCATGCCATTAATTTTACCACACAGAAAGCTAATATCCTTAAAATGGCCTTATTTTGAATAATAAAACATTCAACAATCATTTTATTTGGCAATAACATAGCTAATCATATATGGACGAATACTTTTAACTATAAGGATTAAATGTAATATTATATTTTATTTTTAAGATACAAGATTTAAATCGTAATTGCAATATGACTGAATCTGGAACCAATTTTAATGAACTGCGAATAAAATAAATGTTTTATTTTGTATCTATTATTACTATAAGTTATTTGTATATTATGGGACCTTGTCCTCGAAGATATTTTAGATACCTTAAATTGTACTGATGAAATTTAAGTTAAATAGGTGGCATTTTCATGTGTTTTGCATGTTTATAATTACTGTTATGATGGTGAATTGTTATGTATATGAGGTTTTCTGTTATAACATGGTTCTCTGGATGTTTTTAAACTTACATTTGTATATTTATACTTTCTGTATTCTGTTATGACACTCTCCTTATGGACATTTAATCTATGGACGTGTACTATATCTGAGGCAATATCGCCAAATGTAGATCTTGTGAACAAATAAAAAATGAATGAATGAATCTCATTGCTTCACTGATTAACCCCTTTCCCAACCATATACTATGGAACACAAAAGTCATTTAATAAAGCATAAAGTTCAGCCCTCTCCTAAAGAGAAGCTTTAATATACAAGGAAAAGTTTGAAATGTTCAATTTGCCTAAACAAGAACACATTTACACCTAGTTACTTATGTTAGAAACATTTCTCAGTCAGTGTATAGCATACCAGTCTAACAAGACCATCAAATGTATGTGAAACATTAATTAATTAAAAATATATCAATAATTTGCTTTTGATGAAGATCTGCCATCTACATCTTGTCCTGGGTTATAGGTCTATGTTTTACAGGAATTTAAAATCATGACTCAGTGTTCCCAACTCAATAATGAACAAATATCTCACATACATTCCTGACCAGCCCTGCCATAGCTCAGGCTGTTAGTCACCAGCTTCCCACTGCAGCGGCCTAGGTTCAAGCCCATATCAGGTCATGTGGGATTTGTGGTGGGTAAAGTGGCACTGGAGAAGAGTTTCTCCTGCCAATTCTCATTCCACCGACCACTCCACATTCATCGTCATCCATCACCTCGGGCTGATACAATAGGCAAATTATTGGCTGACGTACCAAGTGGACACAGTCTCATCCCACCCCAAGAAACTAACAACTACATTCTTGGCCAAATGGATAAGTACTGTTACAACTGCAGCAAATTAATTATATCTGAAAACACTTAAAAGTAGTTACTATCCTCCCTGTCTTTCATTGTACAGGAACAGGGATTTATTTAAACAAGAAAAATACCAATTATAACCTCTCAACGCTCTCATCCAAGTCCTCGCAATTACAGCAACAACCTAATATGTGGCTTCTTTCTTCATGAACATTCCAGTATTCACAGCAACACAGAGGGCTGCTATCCTGCCATTCTTGCTTGCCCATTACTCACATAAAATCACTTTCAGGTCCATTAGGAATGTAGCAGTGCATTTAATTATCAGACATCAAATATTCATATCACGGCCACGAATCCAGTTAATACTTCACACATTACTTTTTCATCACAGCAAATATAGTACTTGGCCAATAACTTCCAAGTACTCTACCTCTCGCCAACCAGACCTAACCCTCTACACACTCTACACATACTGCCAATAACGACGCTACTCAAGTGTAGCGTCAGGTGGACATAACGGGACATAAATTTTGACACTTTTGACCTTTTGACTGCTTTTGACATACACTCGTCTGCGAAACTGACAGCTTGGTCAGCCACTCCTTTACCTTATCGTGCTTTATTTATCTATTAGAACTGCTACTATTCCGCGGCGCGCCATGGCGTGACTGCAGGTTGCGCATGTTGTGCATTATGTCGATCATCGCGATTATTGGCTTAATGGCACATGTGTGAACCGTGTGAACGGACTGTGAAGAACGGTGTATGAATTTGTAGGCGTTTGTTATTCTTCTTGTATGAACATTGATATCAAGGTAGTTAGTTATTCATGTGTCTGCGCTGCTTATCAGTTTTTCATAGTTATTATTTCATTAGTCTTCAAGCCTAGAATGCTCAATTTGTAATTAAAATTAGGTTAGAAGTTGTCTTTAATGTGTTTACATAACATTGCACTAAGCACAGAACTGTGTTGTTACAGGGAATACTCCATCAGGATGCAGTTACGTTTTGGCTTGTGTGAACTCTGCAGATCAACACTGTTTTCTCCTCCAACAAGGATTGCATCTGTTGCAGAGTTTCATAACCATCCGGTTTGTTGCATTATTTTGAATAATTTATAAAGATCAAAGGAAAACTGAAGAATATTCCAACTCCCCTGTCTCTTCAGTCCTCTTCTATCCTCTAATGCCCTTTTTCACGCAATCTTGGGGATATGGGGGCTGGCAAAAGTGGGAATCCATGAAGAATAGAGAAGATGGGTAAGCTCCACTTTTGCAGTGTTCTGACAGCATTGCCCATGGAGTTGACATTACTGACATTACTGATCCTGTTTTTAATTTACATCATGCTTGCAATGTGATCAGAAGTCATAATAAATAGGAGAGAAAATATTAATGCAGGGATTCTGATTCTAAATTACTTGATACAGGAGAGTGACATGAAAAACTATGAATACAGCCTACAGTTTGAACATGTAGCATGGGGGCAATAGACTGCGCCATAGCTCAAGCAGTTAGTCGCTGGCTTCCCACCGTGGCAGCCTGGGTTCGATCCCGAAGTGGGATTTGTGGTGGACAAAGTGGTGCTGGGGCGGGGTTTCTCTGAATACTTCAGTTTCCCCGCCAATCTTCATTCCACCAAATTCTCCATCATCATAATCACCTGGGGCAGGCTATAATAGGCCAATCAGTAGCCGCCGTGCCGAGTGGACCCAGTTGGACTGCACCCCCCCATCAAGAAAATTTAAATTTAAAATGGGGGCAATAAATTGATGAATATGGCAAGATCCTAAATTTGTTCAAGATTAGGTTGTTAGGTAAATTAAAATAGTTTCTATTAGCCCTGATAACCACGATTAAATGTTGAATTTAGTGACAATGGATAAAAATCAATACTCAGAGACAGGTTCAATTGGTTAGATAGGTTAGAATATTTGTGTTAGGCCTAAGGCACATTATTAAAATCCAACATTTCAGACAAATGGTAAAAATCCAGATTCATTAATGGGGGTCTGTGGGAGGGGAGGGGGGTTTGCTGGGTGTGTTAGATTGCTGGGTTCTTGCTTGGCTTATTCTTTGACCCTAAAAATGGAGGTGACATTTTTCTCTGAAATGGTGTACTTTCAGCAGACTACACAGCATTATATCTAAGAAGATAGGAATCTTATTAAGTTTCTTGTTAAAAGCCTTTTCCCAGTTTTGAGACAAATTTTCTTCATGTCTCCTGTAAATTCATTGACCATTTTTACATGCATGTTGTAGGTCTGCCCTACACCCACACATTCTTCCACCTTCATTTCTTAAAAAATGGAAATAAAAAATTATGAATTAAAAAACCTGTTAATGGCAGAAAAATTCCCAATGAGCACATTACCATTTAATATTTTTTTTGTTGGGATAACTCTGTCGGTATAGCGACTGGCTACAGGCTGGATGACTGAGGGGTTGGAGTTTGAGTCCTGCTACGGTCAAGAATTTTCTCTTCCCCACGTCATCCAGACTGGCTCTGGGGTCCACCCAATCTCTTATACAATGGGTGCCGGGGCCAAAGCATGAAGCTGACCACTCACCTCCAGCTAGTGCTGAGGTTAAGAAAATGTGGATCTATAAATCCACTCCCCATATGCCTTCATGGCATAGTGCTTAGTTAGTTAAGCACGAACAACTTTACCTTTTACCTGTAAATGAAGGTAATCACATATTTCTGTTCTCTGGGATATAATTCTGTGTAGCCTGGTGAAAGTCAACCAAAGTTTCAGAAGAACACATCTCCATCTTCAAGTTTAGAGAGTAAGCCAAACAAGATACCAGCATGAAGACAGCACCAAGCAGAGCTGTGCTTGCATTCATGCTTGTCTCTTGCTTGGTGGCATGCTCCTCAAGAACAAAGCTTGACTCTCACCAGACTACAGAGTATTGTATCCTAGAAAGGCACAATAGATCACTGTGGTCGCAGTGCAAGGCCCAAGAAGGCCCACTCCTTGTACATTCATTGATTGTCTCCTAGAAAGTAGTCAATAGTCACCTCTATGAGAACCTCAAATTCAACATAAGGCAACCACATTTTCCTCAGACTTTGACTTCAGTTATAAATTTACAGAAGTCTCTTGTAAAAAGTTATGCATGTAGCACGAATTGGGGAGAAGAGGAATGTATATAGGATATTGGTGGGAAAGCTAGAAGGAAAGAGACCACTGGGAAGACCAAGATGTAGGTGGGTGGACAATATTAAAATGGATCTTAGAGAGATAGGATGGGATAGTATGGATTGGATTGATCTGTGTCAGGATAGGGACCAGTAGGAGGCTCTTGTGAACACGGTAATGAACCTTTTGGCTCCATAAATTTGCTAGGAAGTTCTTTAGTAACTGCACAATTTGGCGGCTTCTCAAGAAGGGCTCAGCTCCGTGAGTGAGTCCCCAGGATATGTTTCTAACTTTTGATTGCAGCCACAGAAAAGTCTGCTTCAGAACTACTGATCTAGAGTGTATAGCTTGTGACTAATATCATCATGCCAGAAGTGTTTTATAGAAGTGCTTACTGTACCTTGTAGCATTCAGTCATATTGCATCCCTAATTTGAGAGAAGTTTCACAAGCTGTTTATCGTGTCTCATGTTACCCCTCCGTAAACCCCACAATAGTATACTTCTCCCTTATCCCCATTTCTCTTGATCAGTTTGCATTAAAGCCAGCACTGTTAATTGATATCAGCCTAAATAATTTGAAGACATTGAAATTAAATTGCATTTTTCAAGCACATTTAACCAGGAATACCTGTATTTGTATCTCTTATTATTAGCACCATAAAAGTTTTACACTATATTGAAGGTATACTAAAATATTTTATATTTATATGTTTCCACAGGCTCTGTTAGCAAATGCACGTGTTGCTGTCAAGGTTGGAGCTTTAGGCAGTGAAGTAGACTCTTCAGAACAAAGAAAGAAGGTATGTTCTGAAAACCAAGTCCTTTTCATGTTATGTTTAGGTTACTATAGGTAAAATAACGGTTGCAGAATAATGCGTATGTTACAGGTAGCATCTTTTAACAGATTTCCCAAGAATCCTTTTTAATTTAAACATGATTTCAAACATGGAATCATATTCATTTTTTGTCCTTTTCATGTTATGTTTAGGTTACCATAGGTAAAATAATGGTTGCAGAATAATGCATATGTTACAAGTAGCAACTTTTAACAGATTTCCAAAGAATCCTTTTTAATTTAAACATGATTTCAGACATGGAATCATATTTATTTTTTGTCGCCATTGGCAAAACAGCCCTTTTTCAGCCATTGCCTTCCTTAGAAGATTCTGTCAGTTTTCGCTTTGGATTTCACAACGTTAATTTTTTTACAGAGCAAGGTCATCAGCCCTGTGTCCAAACCCCAACCTGGGGGACCAGCTCTCTGTATTTATGCCCACCAGTGACAGGTGGAGATATTCTAACCTACTGCCTTGTGGGGAATTGGGGAATTTATTTTTCAAGACAGATAATCCAAAGATTATCAGTAGGCTGAAAGGCACAATATTTTTAGTTATTAAACAAAATAATGAACAAAGAATATAAAATACACTGGAGGTATTAACATGTGGGCCAGAGAATATTATGGGAAACTTTTGTGGCTCCCCCCAAAACTGTGTGTTCTGGACAGAAACTAAGACGAAGGAAATTCACATTTTAATTTTTGGAAGACGTTGTTGTTTGATCAGTTTCAAAATGGTATTGAAAAGATCTTGTTTTTGAATTGAATTTGCTGCATGAACTTATCCAAGTAAGACTTAAGATCTTTTACAGCCAATCATACAGTTCCTTCACAATGCAACTATTTTTGTTCTTATTCTTTCCCTTTCACTTTCCCTTTTAATTAATTAAGTAATATGAGGTTTCATCCCGGGTCTGGTCAAGTTGGATTTGTGGTGGACAAAGTGGCGCTGGGGCAGGTTTTCTCCGAGTACTTTGGTTTCCCCTGCCAATCTTCATTGCTCCACAATCACCCTCACCTATCATCTGGGGCTGGTACAGTAGGCCAGAAGTGGCCGCAGTACAAGGGACTTAGTCCCACCCCACTAGCAATAAAAAAAAAAGTAAGTAATATAGTATGATAGCAGGAGTATTGTGTTTTATCTTTTATTACAGGTGTTACGAATTAGTTGTAAGAGGAGTGAATACAACCTTTATGAAGGTCAAACATATGGTAAATTTGAAAGCATTCCATTGGCATCTAAAGGTTGGCACCACAGAAAGTCTAGAGGAGATTTCTTCACAATCCAAAAGTATCGGGAAGTAAGTAAATACATTTATACATATGTATATCTACCAGCTATAGTTTTTATTGAATTTCCGACCATTGCGCACACAGATTGAAGTCATGTGCGTATGCAACACATGTTGAGTAATGAGAATAGTTCCACATTTTATAAATATGTACGAGAAACATTTAGTAAATTCCAGTTTTGAATTACAGTTGGTAGACGCTATTGAGATTGGAATAGAATTGCATTATCTGGCATATATCATTTTAAATGTTGCATCTAGTGGCAAAAATATGAATTATAGCGTTAATTTACTTTGATTTTCAAGATGAAAATGGAGAAAACTGATGTGTATGATACTGCTGCTGTTATGAAATGTCTTCTAATGAAACGAGTTTCTAGTTTTGGAACTGATTTATAATCTTATCCAGCAATAAGGAATTTGAATGGTATATACCTCCGGAAAGAGAGAATCCTAGTCTTAATGAAGTGATGTGCTATACATTTATGTCACAGATGCAGACATTTGCCGTATTAAGACCTGTAAGGCTATGACATAACAATTCATGTTCATGAGTTACTGGTCCGAAAAGTGTTCCTTTTTGTCCTTTAATTCTTTATGTTTTGTACCTTTAAAATCCATTTAATGTTCTCCTCCCATGTATATATGGTCCTCCAAAATTCTCTATGCATTTATCACCTTTCCCATGGTTGCTACATTTGCTCACCCCAATATTATTAATAAGATCTAACAGTTTGTGATGATGGTAAATTGTTACAATTAATATGTTGCTGGACATTATCCATCATCTTGTCTGTTCTTAAAAAACCGTCTAGTTTCTATTAAAAACACAACGTTTCGGGAACTGGACTCTGTTAGATTCTGTTAGATTCCAGTTCCCGAAACGTTGTGTTTTTAATAGAAACTAGACGGTTTTTTAAGAACAGACAAGATGATGGATAATGTCCAGCAACATATTAATTGTAACAATTTACCATCNAATATTATTAGGTGAAGACTATGAATAATGAAGCTCTTTGTTATCGTACTATGTTATCCAGTCTTCCTCCCTCTTAGGTCTAAGTATTATTCTAAGTATCCTGAATGTATTTTTGATGGTTACAAACTTAATTGAATTGTTTTATTTCAGAACCCAGCAATTTGTAATTCATCTGAGAGTGGTATCAGTTTCAGTGACACTGGCCTTAGCAGCAACATTATCGATATACTGGAGGAACAGGAAATCACAGAACCAACAGTCATCCAGGTATTTCTTCTAGTTTTCATTGCTAGTGGGGTGGGGCTAAGTCCCTTGTATTGCAGCCACTTCTGGCCTCTTGTACCAGCCCCAGATGATAGGTGAGGGGGATTGTGGGGCAATTGGTGGAATGAAGATTGGCAGGGGAAACTGAAGTACTCGGAGAAAACCTGCCCCAGCACCACTTTGTCCACCACAAATCCCACTTGACCAGGCCCGGAATCGAACCCAGGCCGCCCCGGTGGGAAGCCAGTGACTAACCGCTTGAGCTATGGCGTGGCCCATGTCTGCTAGTTGAAACATTTGCAGTTTTGTGAGAAACAGGGATATGGGTGTTACCAACCATCATCTTTGAGAGAGTAACACTTTCATATTCAGAATGACCTGGGTTGAAATCTCAGCCCAGAGACCAGCTGTCCTGATTGAGGGTTTGCATAGTTTTTCCTCAGTCCTTCCAGGCAAGTGCTGAAAAGGAATATACAGAACTGACAAATAAAAATGATGCAGATCTAAACATGTCTGTACATGCTAAAATTAAAATTTAGAATTGCAAATATTCAACCATAGATAAATTAACCATCCAGGTGGACATTACTGGACTGACATCTTTGGAGTCAAATTTGATGTGAATTTTTTTGTAGCAGTTACCATGTTGTGGCACTAGTATTGTCAGAATTATTATGCACATGAGAATGATTTCAATTAATTTTTCTCTTGAAAATGCTGGTATTTACATATGATGATTTTTGAGAAATGCCATAGCAATTTTAATATGTTTTGCAGAAAGATGGTATCCCTACTATACTGGAAGGACGTAATACACTCTTAACTGCAGAAACAGGGTGTGGTAAGACCTTGGCATATCTCCTGCCTATGATAAATCAAATCCTGATGTGGCGTCTTGTGTTAAGTGAACATCGATTCAACAGCCCTCTTGGTGTAATTGTGTCACCCAACAGGGAATTGGCAAATCAGATTGGTGTAAGTTCACATTACTTGTAACCAATTTTAATATCTTGTTAGTCATTTCAGATCATCTGGTTTGCAAAACTTGACATGTTACTTCTCCTTTAAGTCTAGTAATTCAGGAAATTTATGTATAGCGTAACAAATTTGACATAATTGGTCCCCACCCCCTTTTTTTAAGAAATATTTTATAAACTTTTAAGACTTATGGACATGAAATGTGTGCTGATATGTTGGGTTTTTGGACTTTATCCATCGTCCTGGTTTNTGAAATGTGTGTTTCACTTTTCTCTGCAGCTTTTGTCAGATAAAGTTCTTGCTGCATGCTCAGGATGTGTGCAGAAATGCATGTAGATTTCCATGTAAATGGTCTATTCATAGTGTATAATTTTAACCAGGTCAACAAGTCTTAGTAAAATTCTCCAGTATGAAATTTCATGCAAATCTATTGCGTAATTCTCAAATTTTTACCATGCAGAGAGACAGACACACATGACAAAGCCATTAGGCACATTTTTGCTACTTTTTGTTGTGATCACACTGAATTATCACTGAAACACAAATACATCTTCACTTTCCTGGCCTCTTTTCACTTTGATCAATGAGTTAGGGTTACTTGACAGGTTATTTGACCTGAGGGGTTGGGGGCTGAGGGATCAACCAATCAATCCTTTCAAGCAGATCCCTCTCAGACATATAAAAGCAGCTTAATGCATGAAAGGAACATTGCTTAATATAAAATATCAGTTTCATCAAGATCTATAACTCTTAACTTGAACCATTTTCAGTAGTGGAGGCAGGTTATAATACCTCCACTGGTGGTACTGTGAGCTGCAGAAGGTGACAAAAGGAAACCCAGTGCCAGGGGATATAACTGGGTACTCTGTCACTGGGGAACATAAATACAGGGACCTGGTCCTCCAGGTTGGGGAGGTTGGATGTAAGGCTGTCGACCTTGCTCTGTAAAAAAATTATTTTTGCAAAATCCAAAGAAGTGAAAACCAGATCAATCTGGCAGAATCTTTTAAGGAAGGGTCCACCCAACCTCCTGTGCAATGGGTACTGAGGTCAGATTCTGTGGGGGTAAAGCAGCTGGTACATGAAGCTGACCACTCCCTTCCATCTAGTGCCAAGATACAAGAATGGTGGGGTTATACCTCCACTCCCCCACATATCTTCATGGCTTAGTGCTTAATTAGTTAAACATGGACAATGTTACCTTCAAACAATAGATTTGTTTCTGCAGTTAGTGAGCATGAAGACCGATATGGGTTACAGCAATTTAAAGAATGCATTTAGAAATATATGCTGAAATTGAGTACATCTGTCCTTTGGTTTATTGGCGAGATTCACCGATTTTTTTTTTTATTCTCTTACTTGATTGAAATCTTGGTTACATTTTTATTTTCTGACATTTTACTTTTAGGAGAATACTGTATATTGAGATCTCCCAATGTTTCAGGAAATAGCTGAGACGTTTTCGAGAAAATTGATGTTTACTTCAAAGGTGCTAACAGGTGGTCATACTAAATCAAAAATAATGAACCCATCATTTGAGGAAGTTGATTTGTTGGTAGCAAGTCTTGGAGCACTTAGTAAACTTACTACCACAGGTAAAATACACATCTATTTGTATAGAATTTGGAACAAGCGAAGGAATTGTTAGAACAGCAAGTTGAACTGACATTCAGTAAAAGTCATGCTAGAAGGAACACGTCTTCTTTTAACTCCTTTTGAATATAGAGAGGTCAGCATAATTTATTAATTAATAATTAATTGCCATGCATAACCTAAAAAAATCACATCATTGCTATGTTTGTAATTTTCAAGATGCAAGTATTGTTTTATACAAAATTTTAGGTGAGATTGTAATTTAATGCCATACCAAATATCACATTCTTAACTAAAGAAAGAGTAAATGTACATATCATGTTCCTCATGCTATTTTACATTGTGCACAATTTGACCAGTACTCTAGAAATAAAATGAAATGTACCTCCGATATAACAGAATCCATTTTCTTCTGCTGTATGTTTCATACAGATATTTGTATACATGCAGCCATCTCTTTCAGTTCATTCACTGCAAGTAGATGAATATTTCTGGAGCTCTGAGTGTGACATCATAACATGTGATGTGGATGAAATGTCATTAAGTAAGCTGCAAAATAAACAGACTGACATATATACAGAGAGTTTTTTAACTCTGTTGACCAGTACACAGATGTGTGCTTCATGGCAACTTGTGTGTGGCTTCCTGTTGAGGCACATGTGAATTTTGCTGATGAATCAGCATGCCTGATGACTGATAACATTTGGATTGAAGATAAGTAATTAACTTGTGGATCACGTGATGGCATTATGTTTCATGGCGAGCAATGCAGTTCATGCATGGGAGCTTGTTTATGATTTGTCAGCAGTAGGCAGCAGTTATCAGCTCCATTAACCATTCATTCTTAGTTACAATTAGTGAGCGGTATGGTATACTTCAGAGCAACATGTATTTATGTATATGACATCTATGTGAAATATGAATCTGCTAGAAAATGTCAGCAGAAACTTCAACATAAATTTCATGATGAAAGAATTCTCGGCAGACAAACAATTCACAATTTGGTGAATAAACTTAGAACAACAGGACTCTTAATAGACAAGAAGTAAAATAATAAGTGCCTGAGTGATTACTGAGGAGAAGTTAGATGACATAGGAGCCAACCTTGAATATAAACCTAGAAAATCACTTAAATGTCTAGCACAAGAGACTGGGGTGTCAAAGCCTAGTGCAAGTACAGCAGCACAGTTGCTATATCTTAGACCCTGTAAAACAGTAATCCATGCCATACAGCCACACAGTCCAGCTAGCACAGGGTTCATTTTCGAAGTTGATTCCTACAGTCTGCCATCGAAGGTGAGATCGATCTGCAATTGACATTCTTTTTTGATAAAGCATGGTGTCACTTGCAGTGATACATATATACGCAAAATAATCGCTACTTATAGTTCACAGAATCCACATCTAACCCACAACATCCTGCTCCATCCAATGAGGGTTGGTGTCTGGAGTGCTGTAATTGCAAGAAGGGTTGTTGGAGCCGTGTTTTTTTTAACAAAACCATTAATTGCAAGATATGTGCAGGTCCTTTTCAGCCAAATCTTTCCAGAGTTGACAGAAAAAAGAAGACTCGGCGTCTTGTTTCAGCAAGACTCCGCTACTGCCCACACTGCACATGTCTATTCAGTCCTCGTCTGATGTCTTTGGGGACAGAATTATCATCAGTGGTATTTCTCCTGGGGTTGTTTGGAGGAAAAAATTTACAACAGTAACCCCTGCATGGAAGAATTAAAAGAAAATATTCTTAGGGAAATTGCAAATATTCCCACAGAACAGCTTCAAAGCATAAATCAGAACCTCTTCCACCTTTATGAGGAATGTCTACACATAGAGGGACAGCATTTTCAATGCCTGTGATCTGTGAATAAAGTTAAGAACTTCCCTTAATCCAAATGTCAGCTGTCAGGCATCAGCAAAATTCGTATGTGCACCACAGCAAGCAGCGCACTGGCCACCGTGAAGTGCAGAGCCATGGAACCGGTCAACAGAGTAAAAATCCTCCATGTGTAATGTTAACACGTTGAGTTTTCTAGACATTGCAACTGTGAAGCAAACTTTTATGTGAGATTTGAGGTTGTCACAGCTGTATCATGATTATGGGCTTCTAGAATATCAAATTGTATAGTTTTATAGATAGATAATAACATATCAGGGGAACCTGCTGCCTCCGTCTTCAGGGTGCTCTGAAAATGGAGGTAGTAGGTTCCTCTAAAATATTGGTAGCTATATTGAAGGGCACAGTGACATATTCCAGAAGACTGTCAACTCTCTACATTGCTGGTTGGTTTGAACCCTTCTTCCTGAGCCCATGCTCACATTAAAACACTGACATGTCGCAGGTATCTACAACATGAAGAGTGTACACCATGTGGTGCTGGATGAGGCCGACACACTACTGGATGATAGTTTCAGTGAGAAATTGTGCCGTTTTCTGAGGCATTTTCAGGTAAGCAGTCCTGAAATGTTCATCTCATTAAATATTACCATGTTGCTTAAAAGGTGGCCTTTAAGCTGTGGATTAAACTGTCTGATATGAGCTGGAGCATACAGTATGTGTGCACATTCAGAGTAAAAATTTAAGGGGGTAACTTTGCAGAGTTGCTCCACAGTATAGAAAATATACAAAAAATGAATGTCAGAGCAAGTATCTTATATCAAGTTGGTATAACTTGGATTGGTCATATTTAGTCATTTCCTTTAAATTTCACAGTTCTGTCACCAAGCTTAATCAAATGACAACACTTCTCACTTTTATTCAGAGGACGTACCTAGTTCAAACACCAATTGTTGTGACTGAGGTTTCTTTTGTGGATTTCTTTAGTCCCTTCAGGCAGTTGCTGGAATATTTCCTTGAAATAGGTCATAACCACTTCCTTCTCGTCCTTTTCAATTCATTTTATTCACCCATCTTACCGTCTTACATGAGTGCTTTTTTGACTTCATGTTTTGTTTCGTCTGTGATGGATGGCAGAATCAAACAACGTGTCTGCATCAGGTTCTACGTGAACCTCGGTAAATCCACTACCGAAACCCTTGAAATGCTTTATAAGGCTTTTGGAGAACATTCTTTAAGCCAGACAGAGGTTTGTGAATGGCAGTCACATTTCATCACCAGACGAGTGTCAGTTGAAGATGATGAACGTTCAGGGGACCTAGCACCAGCAAAACGACAGAAAATGTGTACAACATTCAAGAATTCATCCACAAAGACCATCACCAAACAATCCATGAGCTCACAGACACCTTTGGGATCAGTTATGGAGTCTGCCAGGAGATCTTAACAGAAAATTTAAACATGTGCTGCATTGCCGCAAAGTTTGTTCCCCAACTCTTGACACATAATCAAAAGCAGTGGCACGTAAACGTATGTTTTGAGCTACAAGAAATGGCTAAAGTGGACCCAACTTTTATCTCCATGATCATTATGGGTGACAAAAGTTGCGTTTACAGTTATGATCTGGAAACAAAGCAACAATCGTAACAGTGGAAGAGCCCACAATGAGCAAGAGCAAAAAAGTCTCAGCAGGTCCAGAGTTCAACAAAGAGCATGCTTATCCTATTTTCGACCTGAAGGGGATTGTTTACCATGAATTTGTTTCTCCTAACACTACGGTCAACTCTGACTTTTACTGTGACGTTTTGAGATGCTTGAGAGAAAATGTGCAACAGAAAAGACTGGAACTTTGGCGCAACCACAACTGGCTCCATCACAACAATGTACCTGCCCCTACATCCCTGAAAACCACAGAGTTTGTGACTAACAACAACATGGTTATCATTCTCTATCCTCCCTACTTGCCAGACTTAGCCCCCTGTGATTTCGCTTTGTTTCCCAAATTGCAAATGAAACTGAAGGGACGTTTTGGAACAGTGTCTGACATCCAAAGGGAATAGCAAGCGGTACTCAACAGCATTAAGGAAAATGACTTCAGTGGTGCTTTTGAAGCATGACAAAAATGTTGGAATCACTGTATACATTCCCAAGGAGACTATTTTGAAGGAGGTGGCAGCCAAAATTGAGTTAGTTAAGTCAGTATTTCTTTTTTGACCTAGTCTGGGAACTTTCCAGTAACACCTATTGTCTGAAGATTATTTGAATGCATCATGTGTAATGATGAAAACTGAAGATTCAGAAGGAGGTTTGAGGACATTAAAAGAAGTCATAACACACAAAATTGACTCATTTAATCAAAGACATAAGGTTCACACTGTGTGTATAGCAGCACTGGCTTGTTTTTGATGGCATTTGTCTTGTTGCAGTTTCAATTCAGAACAGCCACCAGTACACTAACTGCTGTGCCAGCAGGTGCCCAGATGACACTGGTTAGTGCCGTAGTGCCAACAAGCCTTACGGATATACTGAGTCCTGTTATACAGGTATATTTGAAACAGATTACTAAACTGATTTTTCTTATACTGTATTCACAGTTTATACTTAATCATATGTTCACCCTGTGCTGTAATGTGGCAACATATGGAGAAGCTGGATTGTTTATCAAGTTCAGCATAAAACTATCACAGAATTGCTGCATCCTTCTCATGTTCACTTTAATTTAAATAAACATGAAACACTGAACTTTGCATGTGCAGGAAGTTACAAACAGGTTCAGTTCCAGAAGCTCATAAGTGCTTTGTTCAGCTCTTGGACTGTGATTTCCCATAAACATGGTGATAGATTCCCGAGCCAGCCCACAACAGACTATGTAATACTGTTGTAATAGCAGTAATGAAGTAAGGCAGAAATATGAACATACCAAACAGCAAATAACTTTTTCTTCTTGTTGGCTATTTGAATTCAGGCACTGCCTTCCTTGTGGAAGTGTGGTTCTTGAGGATAAATAGTTTTATCCGGAGAGTATGAGGAAATTTTTCTGGATGTTGAAAGATGGGGGAGATGAATGCATATAGGATATTGGTGGGAAAGCCAGAAGGAAAGAGACCACTGGGAAGACCAAGGCGTAGGTGGGTGGACAATATTACAATGGATCTTAGAGAGATAGGATGGGATGGTATGGATTGGAATGAGCTGGCTCAGGATAGCGACCAGTGGAGGGCTCTTGTGAATGCGGTAATGAACCTTCAGGTTCCATAAAATGCTGTGAAAATTCTTGAGTAGCTGCAGATTTGGCTCCTCCATAAGGGCTCAGCTCCATAAGTAAGTAAGTCAAAGGATACTTCAATAGCTATAAAGATTGATGGCACTAGTTCCAATGGACCAGTACTTCATAAGAGTAAAGAGACATTTGTATATAGTGTAACCTCTGTTTAATGTCCTCAGTTTAAGGCTTTGCTGCAGGTATCATTCGTTATCAGTAATCCCGAGTCAATAACCTCAGTTTTAAATTTCTTCCAATTAAGATTTTCCTCAGTTTAATTTTCAGATCCACTGCTCCCCAAAGAAACATTAAACTGCTCTTCATATAACTGAATTATTGAAATGACACATTTGTAGGAACTTAAAGGCCTACTATAATAGCTGAAATGTTAGAGGCAGTACCTTTATATGTACTGGGGCTGAAAGTAGAAGCTCCACATCCATTCATTAAGAGTATTATGCTGCTGGCATTTCATCTCTCTGTTGTTCAGTTAGGGTTCAATTCAGAAATGGCCATTCTAAAACAGTAATTTAATGTATGTATTTCTTGTTGAATTTCGTTTCCTAATAATTTTCTCTCAGACTGACTCATTAGTGAGAGTTACAACAAGTCAAGTTCACCGGCTGCTACCACATGTCCCACAGAAGTTTTATCGACTTGGCAGATCGCATAAGCCTGGTCAGTTGCTTGCTATGGTTAAAAGTGATACTGCAAAGAAACATCCTGTTATCATATTTAGGTAATTATGAGATATAATAAGTCAGTTAAGTTAAGTGAGTATAATTTGATGGAAGAATTCCATTGTAAAGTTAGTGTTAAAACATATTTTTGATCTTATATAATTGATTATATAAAACAGAATTTATGTAGGAGTTGGGATAGGTCCCAGTCTAGAAAACCGAGATTTACAACCGTGGGGATCCATTGCACTGACCACGTGACACCTCCTATCCTCAAAAGTTGGCACTAACTTCGCCGACAAGTGGCGGTCGCTCGGTTGGTATAGTTTGTTTGTGGACCACAGGCCAAGGATTTTTTTGTTGTTGTTGGGATAGGTCAGTGAGTATACCAATGGACTATGGGCTGGATGGCATGGGTTCAATTCCCAGCAGAAGCAAGAGATTTTCTATGTTCCACAATATCCAGACCAGCTCTGGGGCCCACCAAGCCTCCTATCCTGTGGGTACTGAGAGCTCTTTCCACAGGGTGAAAGCGACTGGGGTGTGAATCTGACCACTAACCTCCAGCTAGTACTGAAGTCAAGAATACGCATTCATGCATTCTGTCTCCACCATTCGAGCTTCCAGCTGTCATGTCACAATATCATTAATATGAAATACAATTTTCACATAACATATAAGAACTGATTTGAAGCTATCTTCTGGGATATAATGTCATGTAATCTTGCAAAAGGTAGCCAGCATTTTGGAAGAACATATCCTCTCCATCAGGGCAAAAGAGTAAAGCCAAGCAGGAGACCAGCAGGCAGCAAACAGAGTTCTACTTGGCATTTGAGACGAGTTTCAACGAACCACACGGTGTTATATCTCAGAAGACAGACCTCATCATTTAAATAATTACTTACTTGGACCAATAAATGAGATTTTGGGAACAGTAAATCAATCAATCATTACAACCCTAGTAAAAACTTTCATATGATAAAGACTGGTAATGTATAGAATGGAACCATGACCGCACTAAGGTTTGTTGGAGACGGCACCACAGTGGGTGAATTTCTTTAAAGTTCTTTTAATCTTTCAAGTATCATTAATTCTCAACGGTCATTGTGAAAATTACTGTTTTATGGGGTGTGTAAATATTTATTCCATGTTAGGTGGGTCCTTGTCACCACGGCATGGCACGTCCTCAGGTTGCGGATGGAGGAGACACCCTCCAGTTTTGGAGGGAAGCTGTGAATATATTGAATAAGCAGTTGCGGACAGCCAATAAGGGGTGGCCCTACAGCTTGGGGGTTGGGCGTGGGGCTAACAACTCCTCACCATAAAAACTCAGTATGCTACGAAAATGAACACAAAACCTCAGACCCGGACTGATTCCTTGGATAAACGACCTAAGCTAATGAATATGGATATGAGATTTGGGATCTTAGAGAGATAGGATGGGATGTTATGGATTGGATAGATCTGGCTCAGGATAGGGACCAGTGGAGGGCTCTTGTGAATACAATGATGAACCTTCGGGTTCTGTAAACTGCTGGGAAATTCTTGAGTAGCTGCAGAATTGGCGGCTCCTCAAGAAGGGCTCAGCTCCATGAGAAAGTAAGTAAGTAAATATTTATCATATGACATACAATCACATCCCAAAACACAGTTATTTTCATAATCACTGAATGAGACCTCAGAATTCAAACAGTGGTTATGTCATTATAAATAAGGATATTTTTGTATGTGAATTTTGTAAGAATGATGTGACTGCATTTGTTGCAGCAACAAGTCATCAACATGTGATTGGATATCAATGTTCCTGAATGAGAATGGTGTGAAATGTGTAAACCTGAATGGAAAAATGCCACTTGATATTCGGACAGGGAAGCTGAGGTTATTTCAGTCGGGCGATGTCAATGTCATTTCTTGTACTGACATTGGTTCTAGAGGCATTAATACAGTCAGGGTAAGTGAGGGTTCTCTGGAGCAGAACATCATTTGATAGTTATGATCATGGCCTGGATTTTGATGACATGTCATCTTTTTTTCATTGTACCCTATCCGATACTCTCAAATATATAAATCTCGTATATGAGCTGCTGGTTACAGAAATGTAAATTTTATAGGTAATTTTTTTACTTTTAAGGGCATTTCTTGTCATTTTTGGCCATTTTAGGGAATTTTTCTTCATATGTTTTCGGAAATGTGAATAACATGGAAGTGAAGTGTTCTTGCTTTTCTCCTTTAGCTCATTTTTCTGGATTTTTTCAGTCATTTTATAGGTCATGTTTTTAATATTTTCAGGTCGTCAAAATCTGGGCCCTGCATATTACATTTTTGGCTCATATTTTAGGTCATTTTTCTGGATTTTTTCGGTCATTTTATAGGTCATTTTTTAAATATTTTCAGGTCGTCAAAATCCGGGCCCTCGTTATGATATTACCGAAATTCATTAACTTTTTAATGTTTCTTACAAAAATAACAGAATCTTTACAATTGTTTTAGTTTATGCACTACTTAGATAGAGCATGAATTTTGGTACTGCTTTTATGTTGTAAAAATATAAAATTACAGCAGTCATCTTGGTTTGTTCTTCATATCAATATTTGAATTTTTAAATTAAAAAACTGTATTACATTTCCCTGGACTGCTGTTTCAAAGGGATACATTTTGGGTCTTTGTAACTTTTTTTATATGATGAACAATGAAAAATGATGTTTCACGACTGGCATCAGAAAATCTGTATTGAAATGTTGCTGTTGAATTATTATCCATTTGTTACATATTTGTGTTTCAGGTAAAACATGTGATTAATTATGACTTCCCTCTGTACATGGCTGATTATATTCATCGTTGTGGGCGCACAGGGCGTGTTGGAAGCGTTGAAGGCTGTCACGTTTCAAATTTTATTGCTGGTTTGAAAGAGGTTGAACTTGTGCAAAAGATAGAGGTTTGTGATCTTATTTTAACTGCTCTGTTTTCTTCATGTATTTACACTGAAATGAGTCTGAATTCTGTTTAGATCAGATGAGAGATAGGCATATTGTATCATATTGTTCTGCTCTCGGATAAATGCTCAGGTTTCTAAAGCACCCATTTATCCCCTTTTTCTGTGAAGTAAAAAAGAAAAAGGTAAAGCTATCTGTGTAACAGGCCATGAAGGCACATAGGGCTATGAGACATTGAGGCTTCCACATTATATTGACAGTCGGCTCACAAATGGCAGTGAGGTTGTCAACTGTACATGACGGTAGTCCGCCCTTTACTCCCAGGAAGATTCCTGGTACTCATTTATGTTAGAGGCTGAGTTTACCCCACAACCATAGTGCTGCTGGTAGGATTAAACCAATTGAAAAATTTGATGACCTCATCAGGAATCGAACCCCTTCTGGCATAGTGCCTCAACCAGCTACACTACCATGTTTCCCTCCCCCCCCCTACCATGCACCCATTCCCTATAAGATAGATGTATATACAGTAATTAGTTGCCAAATTAATTATGTGGTATATTTTGTTATATACAGGAAGCTGCTCGAAAAATGGACACACTGCCCAATGTCAATGGTAACATAACAAGAACAATTAAATTCAGAGCTATGAGAAAAATGGAAGATCGATTTATGTGAAATGTGAAGTTGTGTACTTTAAGTATATGTCATATATTGTGTCATTAAACATACATACTACATATTGAAACTGTTTCATTTCCTTATTTACCATATTTGTATCTATATTGATGTGCGTTTTGGACATTAGTTACAAAACTAATGTAATTGTGATGAAATGTTCTTGTGAATGTTTCATCTCCAAGACTATTTGATGGATTTCAGTTAAATTTAGTCTACACTGAAAGTTAGTGTGAAAGTCGCTTGGTTTCTATGAGTAAAGTATAATCTTGCTTTGTATAAAACCCGTATAAAAGTAACTTGCATTTTAAAATTTTGAAGAGGATGGTAATGCTTTGTAGTTCAGTGGCAGTTCACTGATGTCTTGAAGGAACATATCGCCTCCATCTTCAAGGCTTCAAGAGTAATCCAAACAAGAAAGCAGCAATCAGAGCTCTACTTGCCACTGTTGTCATGTCACTTTCATGCATGGCATACCAAAGGATCCTGAAGACATAGGGGATACGTTGCACCAAGACCTCGCTGGACTCCTACTGAACTACATAAAACAAAAAACCAAACTCCGTGGCCTGTAGTCTGCAAGCAAACTATACTGACTGACCAGCTGCCGCTTGTCGGCAAAGTTATTGCCAACTTTTGCGGATAGAGACTGTCATGTGGTCAGCGCAATGATTCCCCACGGCCGTTAGTCTCGTTTTTCTGGACCGGAACTGCTATTTCCTTGAAATAGCTCTTCAATTATCCTCACCATGCTGAGTGGACCCCGTTCCAGACCCACTTACTTACTCATGGAGCTGAGCCCTTCTTGAGAAGCCACAATGATTCTGCAGCTGCTCAAGAATTTCCTAGCATTTTATGGAACCCAAAGGTTCATCACCATGTTCACAAGAGTCTTATCCTGAGCCAGATCAATCTAATCCATACCATCCCATTCTATCTCTCTAAGATCCATTTTAATATTGTCCATCTACCTACGCCTTGGTCTTCCCAGTGGTCACTTTCCTTCTGGCTTGCATTACTCTTCTCCCCCATTCATGCTACATGCCCTGCCCACCTCATCCTCCTTGACTTGATCATTCTAATTATACTTGTTCCAGACCCACTACTCAGAAAATCTGGTAACGCCGAGAATCAAACCCGGGACCCCTGGATCTGTAGGCAGGAAATCTGACCTGTAGACCACTGCTGTTGAACTTCCACTTCAGCGCTCTCTGGCGCCCCTGGCTCTGCCTGAAGTATCTGAAACGGCCACTACGAGGTGCTGAGATGCATTTATCAGAACGGGTCTCAGCGGAGCAGCGCATGTTAATCTGTTGCAGGGCATAGCAGGACGTATTAAATGTTGGACGACAGTTTGTGGTGTGTCGTATCTCATTTGTGTCACGTGACGAAGGCTTTGTAGTAGGAGGTTCGAGATGCGGTGCGTGTTATGTTGATTTCTTACGGCGACTGTTACGCTTCCAGATTCAGTCGTGTGGGTAATGCGTTGACGTGAGATTGTTTTTGGTCCTGCTGGTGTTTGGAGGTCATGTGGAGTGGTGGTGAAATGTGAATGAAGAGTTAGAGTCTGTTGTTTTACTTTGTGTTGTTATTTTGTCTTGTTTCACCCGGTAGCTGTTACTTGTGGTGTAAGGCTGCGAATGAACGAAATATATTTACTGGTGAAATCTGTATAAGACTGACGAAGTTCGGCCCGCAGATACTTTGATGAGTTCAGTTATTCATCTGTACCAGGAGTTCGACAGGACGTAACGCTGTTTTGTGTGCAGCGTCAACGACGAACGTTACAGCCAGCAGAAGATGTAAGAATGCGTTGTTATTAACTTGCAGTTCTTTCATTGTTACGTTCTACATCAAGTGTTTAAGGTTCAGGCGGCTGTGACATTGGAGATTATTGTTTTCTGGAATGTGACGCTGTGTAGTGTGATACAGATTTTTTAAAAAGTTTCTGAGGAACCACCTGGCTCTATCGTCAGGGTAGAACCTGTTACCACGTAGAAGATTCTGCCAAGAAAGTGGAGAGTGTTGATTTCTCCAAAATGTTTGTACATAAATACCAGTTTATATGGCGTCACATCATAGAAGACCGTAATCTTGATGAAATGTCATGTGTGAATACCCGAGCACTATAGTTCTTTGTCTTATGGCTTTACGGAAATGTATTATTTCAAATCTGACGGACGGCCAGTTTAAATGAAATTGTTGCAAGCATTAATTTCCATGTATGGAATATTCGGGTTATGTTATTCGAGGAGCTTGGGGCGTTTCCGTACCGGGAACCTCCCAGAAGTTGACGTATGCGGATAACATGACCTTTCGAGTTTCCCTTCCCACCGTGTACCCATACCAAACACTGAAATGCAAAATTTACCCTGATCACAAGCAAAAGGTAGTTTGATCGTGTAAAAGCGTGTTTGCCGTCATACCAACCAGAACAACGTGTATACTGTACAGCGGAGTTCCTTTGTTGTTCTGGTTGCAGACCGGTTTAGAATTGAGATTTCTCACGGCGGTGACTCTGAAGATTACTGTATTAGGGACGCCCCCCCCCCTTCTTATTTTACTGCTAGTGGGGTGGGTCCAAGTCCCTTGCACTGCGACCACTTCTGACCTATTGTACCAGCCCCAGATGATGGGTGAGGGTGATTCTGGAGCAATTGGTGGAATGAAGATTGGCAGGGGAAACCGAAGTACTCGGAGAAAACCTGCCCCAGCGCCACTTGGTCCACCACAAATCCCACTTGATCAGACCCGGGCTCGAACCCGGGCCGCCGCGGTGGAAGCCAGCGACTAACCACTTGAGCTATGGCGCGGCCCTTGCCGCCCCTTAGTCCGGTAAATGTTTTACAGACGTTTCGGAGGAACGTTCTACCTCTGTGTTCAGGGTATGAGAGTAAGAGTAGCTCTTATGCCCCGATAATACAGGTAGTACATTTTTCCGAAATATGGACAGGCAACTATCATACAGCGTTATATATGCCTGTGCAAATCGAGCGAAACGGGAAGAGGTCGGCATTTTATTCAGAAATGAGATGTCGAAATTGTTCACGATGCTTGCGAAAAAATACTCTTCGATTAAATCGATCTTGTAAGATTTCAGTCTTAAATGTCCGTAGTTGAGTGTACATTACGTGCCCCTCTCTAGGGCCCACTTTAGGATAGATGCCCATTATTCTCTGTTATTTGCATACATCTCTTGAAATTCTGCTGTCATAAATCAGTCTCTGTATCATCAAGGCGAATCATGGCCTGTTCTTCACCCTTTGGGTTACTTTAAACATTTTAGGACTTTTATCTTCTAGGACGGGCTATAACTCCGTATGGTGTGTTGAAATCAGTCAAGTTTCGGTTGAACATGTGAGGAACATGAAGCAAGTAGCAAGCAGAGCCCAGAGACGGAACATTTCATAACCGCCTCTGTGAGAACCTCAAATCCTACATAAAATGTTGTTATTGGCCTTTTTTCTTATGCACTCTACATGCCCCAACCACTCCAACATTTTACATGTAAGTGCGCCACCAAATCAGAGGTTTTATATTCCTTCATTTCTTGGTTACGACCGCCTCTGTGGTCTAGTGGTCAGCGTGCTTTGCTACAGATCCAGAGGTCCGGGTTGGATTCCCGGTGCTACCAGATTTTCTCTGAGAAGTAGTGAGTCTGGAATGGGGCCCACTCAGCCTCGTGATGATAATTGAGATATTTCAAGGAAATTGAAAACCGAAATTAACGGCAGTGGGGATTCATTGCGCTGACCACGCGACACCCTCTGTCCGCAAAAGTTGGCACTAAACCTGGCCGACAAGCGGCAGTTGCTCGGTCGGTACAGTTCTCTTGCGGACTAAAATCACGGAGTTTGTTTGTTTGTTGGTTACATCTGCAGATTAAAATTGTTTGAACGTCTGTATATGCGGAATTAAATGTGTGCTGGAACTAAGATGCCCTCTCCATTTATGCGCTTACATGTCTCCAGTCATAGCGCATTTTTAACATGAAGTCTCCTGTTACTCGTGTAGTTTTTTTTTTTTTTTTTTAGATTCATACAATCTGTCCAATTAAGGACAATGAGCACTTTTGGTGACTGAGGTAACTATGTCATTAACAGTGTTAATAAGGCTATCCCAGTAGATGCCTTAAGATTTGTGGCATGTATACACTTAAAACTAGCTAAATCTTATCAGATAGGTCTGACGGCTTGAATCTTTTTAATCTCCTAACTTCATCTTCATGGGTTAGTAATGAGGCTGCGAGTTCGTTTGGATGTACTTGTAGTCTCCGACTGTACTTAGCACTACACTTTTTAATTTCTTCTCGCACTGTAGATACACTTAAGTCCTTATGTAACACTGTATTGGGCACATACCAGGGCGCATCAACTATTTCTCTGAGAATCTTGTTCTGAAATCGTTGTAGTATTTCCAGGTTTGAATTGCTGGCTGTTCCCCACAGTGATATTCCATACGTCCATATAGGTTTGAGTATTGCCTTGTAGAGTAAGAGTTTCCTATTAAGAGATAGTTGTGATCTTCGTCCGATTATCCAGTACAATTGCCGAGTTGTGTAGTTTCTGTATTTATTTATTTAGGTACAAAATCTGAACACCCGTTATAGTTTTCTGGAATAGGTAAAGGTAACAAGGCGAAGTTACCCCTGTATTTAATTAAGCACTATGCTATGAAGACGTATGGGGAATTGGATGTATAGGTCCACTCATTCTTGGCCTCAGCTCTAGATAGTGGTGAATGGTCACAGGGCGCTTTACCTGCGGGGAAAGAACCCCAGGACCTGTTGGGTAGGAGGCTGCGTGGGACCCAGAGCCTGTCTGGACGCTGTGGAGAAGAGAAACTCCTGATACCTCTGCCGGAAATCGAATCCGCAGTTTCTAGGACGTCGAATTATTACCCAATTGCTATGCAGACTGAGCTGTCCCGGCTCCAGTTTTCTGGCATAGGCTTACTTTAAATTATAACCTAGTATTTCAGTAGTTGTCTTAGTAGCACCGTACATGCCATTTCGATTTTATTTATACGTGAAAGACAGAAATACTATATACTTATCCATCCATCTGTGTATAAAGTTAAGAAGAATTGCTATGCCACTGCCTTCCATGGTGAATATTCATCTCTCGCACAACCGGTTTGACAACCTGTGAACCAGCCTTGAGTTTAACCCTTTAAAGGCTGAATTTATTCTACATAACATATAAAAATTAAGTCGTACTTCACAGGAAATATTACGTCTCCGCTACAAAGCCCAGCCGGTTAATGCTGTTTAGGGAAACAGTCGCCGTTTACTGTGAGAACCATACGGAACACACAGACACACTCTGTGGGCAGAATGCAGAGTTTTAGTATGTTCAGTCCGTACCTCACAGGAAACATTACGTCTCCGCTACAAAGGCCAACCAGTTAATGCTGTTTAGGGAAACAGTCGCTGTTTATATTGTGAGAACCACACGGAACACACAGGCACTGCGGGCAGAATGCAGAGTTTCAGTGTTTTAAAGCAGATGGTACTAATAGTAACCACTGGGCTCAAGATTGAGAACATAACGTAAGCGTTCGAAGATGTTAGGTTTTAGTCTTTTGAGTATGATAGCATGTGGTATCATAATGTTAGAAGACGGAGGCGGCCTTTTCCTCGGAGTAGTTTAACCCAGTAGACCATTATCTAAATTTTCACCACTTGGAAGACACTATTTTTTTTTAATTCGCTTAGTGGGGTGGTGGAGTCCAACTGGGTCTACTCGGAATGGCGGCCACTGATTGGCCTATTGTAGCCTGCCCCGGGTGATTATGATGATGGAGAATTTGGTGGAGTGAAGAGTGGCAGGGGAAACCGAAGTACTCGGAGAAAATCCGCCCCAGCACCACTTTGTCCACCACAAATACTACTTGACCAGACCCGGGATCGAACCCGGGCCGCCGCGGTGGGAAGTCAGCGAAACTCCAGTCACGAGACACGAGCTCACAATTTTATACCGATGTGTAAGTCTGTCGAGGAAGTGGGTTCAAACAGTAATGGTTTCTATTCGGGAATTGCTCTTTTCGAATCTTGACGGGGTCCCTTGCCTTTATATTCATTGGTTTTTCCTGCTCTCCAGTATGGAACTGAATCCTGGATGTAGTCCTCAGTGAAATATGTTTTTAAACAATTCGACGGCTGTAGACACAGTCACCTTCCTGATCTACACTTGTGGTCAGATTTTCACCCTCCTTAGCAAAGATGCTTTGTACATATTTAAGTTGTCCTAATCCTTAACCAAGCACTACGCCATGACGACGTACCGGGAGGGTGGAGGTATAGCTCCGCCATTCTTTACCTTGGCACTAGATTCAGGTGAGTGGTCAGTTTCACGCTCCGGCCGCTTTACCCGCGGTTCACATTGTGGCTCCCAGAGCCAGTCTGGACGCCGTGGAGAGCCTGCCAGGAAAGGAACTACGGCCGACCAGCCCGTAGCCCGTCGCTACATCGACTTTGTACGTTTGCTGAATATTTCTGGGTACTGATGGCCGGACTTAGCCATGTAAACGTGTTGAGAAATGCATTGCGCTGGAGGCTACAAATAAAATCAGATTACATGCGTAACTTTTTTTCTCTTGTCTCTTTTGACCTTGGGAACAGAAGTTTCCGGAACCCAAGTGACCGGGCACAGCCTGCAGGTTATTGCTGGCCTGATAATTACAGGCTTGAAGGAGATGGAGATTCCTGCATTCATGAACAGGTTCGTTCAGTGGCTGTTGAAAGAAAGTCTTGAACATCCCAAGACTTCCTTTGCTCGTAGGTTATATAACAACGCTTTCA